AACTACACATGGAACAACTGTAACACGTTTCGTTTAATGCTATAAAATAGATGCTCTTAATTCACCACGATTCTCGATTCAACAATAATCCGTGATGGATGATCCGTGAGCAATCGAATCGGATTGATAGAATTTCACGTAACACATAAATGAATCCTTTATTGCGATATTCGTGATACGTTTTTTACTTTTATTTTTCCTTTTTTTTTTTTTCTTTTGTTTTTTCCGTACATCTAGCGACATTGAATTTACATCACGTTTCATTAAAATATTTTAAATTGTTTTAATTTAAATTGGTTCGTCGTAGGAGGAGCGCACGATCGAATGCATCCTCGACGATGATATTAATTACAAATTTTTTCATTGAAGCGTATAATTCTTTTCCTATCCGTATTATATATATTTCTGCATAAGCATATATTTAAAAAAAAAAAAAGAAGAACGAAATTTAATATCATCGTTTGAATTTAATGTTTATATTTGTTATTTTTTTTTTTTTTAATTATTAACGATACAAGATATCATTGTCCAAATTTTTCTTTAAAATTAATGAAAAGTAATGTAATTTAATAGTTATTAATGTTATTAAAATAACACGTATAGTTAAATATGTAAATTACAAACGAACTTTGAATTTCAACAGAACTCGTCGGTGCACGGGTACGGTTTCATTAGATCGTATTGCCGGTCAATTGACGATTATTGTTCGATCACTGGAACATCCGATGAGAAAATAAAAGGAAACATCTGCGCGTTTTTTCCTCTCTTTATTGCTTCTCGATAATTTTTTTCTTCTCTTTTCCCGTAAGAGAATAGAACAGTCTCGAAAATCTATTCAAATCTACTTTTATTTTTTTACCTTTCAATTTTTTAAATTCAATACCTATTGTACAAATTATTGTACAAATTAAAAACGATAATCAAAAAGTATAAAAAAATACATATATAAAATTAATTATTAAAAAATTCTTTTAAAACATGATACAATCAAAAGCTAATCATTGGTTACAAAAAAAACAATATAAATTAGAAACATATAATAACGATGTTAATTATAAAAATTAGAATCAACATTTACCGATTTTACGAATCACGGTATTGCTTAATCGTAAATCATCCTATATTTCTCTCTAACGCTATCAAATATCGAATCATAAGATAATGAATCTAACCAAGATAATTTAAAAAAAAAAAAGAAGAACGAATTTAATATCATCGTTTGAATTTAATGTTTATATTTGTTATTTTTTTTTTTTTTTTAATATTAACGATACAAGATATCATTGTCCAAATTTTTCTTTAAAATTAATGAAAAGTAATGTAATTTAATAGTTATTAATGTTATTAAAATAACACGTATAGTTAAATATGTAAATTACAAACGAACTTTGAATTTCAACAGAACTCGTCGGTGCACGGGTACGGTTTCATTAGATCGTATTGCCGGTCAATTGACGATTATTGTTCGATCACTGGAACATCCGATGAGAAAATAAAAGGAAACATCTGCGCGTTTTTTTCCTCTCTTTATTGCTTCTCGATAATTTTTTTCTTCTCTTTTCCCGTAAGAGAATAGAACAGTCTCGAAAATCTATTCAAATCTACTTTTATTTTTTTACCTTTCAATTTTTTAAATTCAATACCTATTGTACAAATTATTGTACAAATTAAAAACGATAATCAAAAAGTATAAAAAAATACATATATAAAATTAATTATTAAAAAATTCTTTTAAAACATGATACAATCAAAAGCTAATCATTGGTTACAAAAAAAACAATATAAATTAGAAACATATAATAACGATGTTAATTATAAAAATTAGAATCAACATTTACCGATTTTACGAATCACGGTATTGCTTAATCGTAAATCATCCTATATTTCTCTCTAACGCTATCAAATATCGAATCATAAGATAATGAATCTAACCAAGAAGGTTAAATTAATAAAGGCCCATTTCCATAATCACATGCAAGAATCAAAATTTTTTTCCGGTAAATCTTGCGCCACAGTGTTAAATAATGCAATAATTAAACGGATTTCAAGCCGGTGCACCTTGGCCTCTCCTTTTCAAGTAACCGACAGAACGACGCGACGCGCGCACACGAGCGCGCTTTTCAATTTGCCCTGGCTGCACAACAATAAAAGGATATTTCGTTTCACGGGAATATAATTTTCATAATATTGTGAAATCTCATAATCGCGTATCACGTTACTACGTGGTGCCAAGTTTCATTTTTTTTTCAAGGTTTTTCTGCAGGGGACACGTGTCGTCTATTTTTCTTTTCTTTTTTTCTTTTTTCCCTTTCCTTTTTCCCCCCCTCTTCCCCTTTTCTCCCTTTTCTTCCCGATAACGATATCTTACGCTTCGCGAACGATCGATTTAACACGACACCTATATCTATGTCCACTTTGATATAAATATTTGCAATTTTATTCTTTTCGCGCGTGCGAGATAGATACGGGATACTTTTTTTTTCTCTCTTCTTCTTCTTTTTAATTAAAGTAAGTAAAAAAAAAAATTGAACGTCAAAGAAGAGAAAATACTTAAATGGTTAGAATTTCGTGGAGAGAAATTTGGTTGGCGTCAAGGACGTTTCAAGGTCATTGGCGAGTTCTTGAACGAGTTATTTTTGATTAACGACGGATGTCTGGAAGAAGTTCAAAGACAAAGTTATACCGGAAAGACAAGTAACAAAGTAATGGAAATAGAATTGAAAATGGGAGAAGAAAATGGAATATTTGAATTTCGAAAGGAAATTGAGTTCGAAAATCGGCGTAAATGGACCACATAATACATCGAGCATCGAATTCGATACGTGTAAGGAATTTGTACAATTTGAAAGAATTCGAATCGTTTGAGATGTTTCAAATTGCATTCGAAGCATATACATAGATCGGATTTTTTTTTTTTGTTTTTTGCAAGTTATTGCTGCAAATATAAAATGAGACGGGTAATTCCGTTTAACGTTGAATTTAATAACTTTAACTATAATTCAAATATTTTGAATATCATTGAATATCATTGTGAAAAAAAAAAAACAATATTTTCGAAGTGTGTTTATAATCATACATGACCTTGCCTGACAAGTCGTTGAACTCGACTTAAAAGAGGCTATCACCCTACAGAGTAAAAAATAGAACGTTTCATTAAGCCTTAGTAAGGCTCTTGATTTCACTGTGCGCATCAAAAATAATTCACTTTTCATATATTAAAAAAGATATGAAGTGTTTATGATTTGTATAATTATTCATTTTTTAAAATCATTTTTAGATATTGTAATCCATTTGATTTCATTCATAAAAATACAATTGAGCTATTATAATATTAATATACTATTATAATATATCAAAAAAAAAAATTATCTTTTACTAATATTTTATAATATTTTATAATATTTTTATAATATTTTATACTCTACGTTCACTGCTTTGTTACTTTTAGATTGTCTTATACATACACGCATATATTTACTCAGATTTTATAATTTCCTCATAATTTTAAAAAATATTCAAATCAATATATAAAAATCAATTAATTGTTCCATAAATATTTTTAAAATTCATTGAAATGAAACAAATTTTAAATCTTCAATATTTTTAGCAATCCATAAAATTGTTAAAAAATGAATTAATTTTAAAGAAAAAAAAATTCAATTTATTCCTTTAAAAAATTCCTTCAACAAAAAACGAATAGCGGATAATCAGAGCACACTGTTCTCTTTTTAAATGTACTGAAGATATGGAGATAACAATTGGTTATTGTCGATGTTCGTAATATAACAGAATCTATATATTTTCCAATATCGATTCTAGGTCAACAGAATCGATGTGGATAAAAAAGAGGAAGCTTTAACGATTCATCACTCGCGAGAGATGTCATTAACCTTTGCGAGATTTGTCGAGTGTGCGTTTCGACCCATGCTGCACATGATTCATAATGCGATATATCCGTTTTGCATGGAAATAAAACTAATAATAAAAATTTTGGCTCACTAGCGTAACAATATGCATGCCTAATCTATCATTTATAATTTACGAGAAAGGTGCACGATAAAATCGAATTGAAAAGTCACTGACTTTTACTGAGCGAAGTTGCGTAGACATTTTTATGACAAACGTAAATGCAAATAACGTACACATGGTACAAACGGTAATAATAATCATTAATACATATGTTACGAATGGAAAAAAACAACTCAAAGATTATGTGATTACGTATTGTCACTTCAAAACGGAAAATATATCACTAAACCAATTTCGCGCGTTCCTCTAATATGAAACAAATTAATTTCATTCCATGTTCCATTTCCATCGTTTTCGCGTTCCTAGACAAGAAATACGATAAAACATAGCGCGTATTTGGAGGAAGGATAAATAAAACGTGCCGATTGGAATTGATTATATAGAATCTTTTATGCGACGAATCATATAAATCTTATGATTCTATTAGGCAAACTACTCGCATGGAATAATAACATGTTGCCTTTATCGAAGTATTGGAAGACTTCGAATGCGAAGGAAATTAACTTCACGGCTAACGTCAAGCAGATCTTGTTGAAAAAGTCCGTGCTAATACTGTCAGCTGATGCCTAATAAAAGTATGGAGTGCCTTTTATTAGGAACGATCGAAACATGCACTCGATTTAGCAGCTATATACTTGAGCACGTTCTTTGAGCACGAAAAGAAAAATATGGATCTCTTATTACTTACATATTTATTAGAATTTATATGTTTCGAATGCACAGTCAACCGAAAGCGCGTTTTTTTACGATCCATCGAAATCTAACCTATCGAAGTATGGAAACCGATCAAACTTTTTATGAAGAAAAACAATATAAAGGGAATAAAACAAGTAAAAGGTATAAAAATATTTGTTGGCATTCGAGGTTATGGAAGAAAAACAGGAAAAACGAACAAGAAAGAAAATATGAGGAAACTTGTACTTTGTACTATCGGCGTTAGTGGAGAAAAGAAAAAAAACGTATTTACTCACGTTCTCGCCGCTTCGTAGCAGCTCCAATACTTTCAGTGCACTTCACGTTGTCGATCGAAATCGTTCCCGAGGCGGTAACGCACCGGTTTTAAGAATGCCGGAACACTTCCTCGAATGGTCAAAAATATTTCAAATACGTTCACGATGATCACACCTTACGAAAAAGGCGAAAACGTTCGTAATCGCCTCGTTAGTTCACGTTTACGTGCCACAGATATTGTGATTCTCTTATGCACAGATTTTTGAACATCTATCACGTTTGATTCATAGACGAAATTAGTTAAAATATTCACGAAGTTGTATTATATCGGAAATGTGCGACTTGATATGGTCGTAAAATCACCGATACGCGCGTATGTATACACGACTGTTAGAGGACGACGCACGAGGCACAAACGTTCGCACCGCTCGGTGGTTCTGGCACGACTGGAATACTGGAAGCGACTCGTCTCGACTTTACATATGGCTACGTATTATCCAATGATCAATGGAGTAAAATTTCCGGCGTTGTTTTGAATCTTTAATATTTTTACAAATATGTAAAAATAATATGGTTATTATTATCTCAGAATATTTTTTTTAATAAAAATTTCAATTTAATAAATATTTTTTCGCAATAATGGAAACGGAATCGTTAGATGATAAAGTAAACAATCTAAATAAAATTTATATGAGAAATAATTTATTATAAATCTTTATATATTAATATTATTGTTTATTATTCTCTGATCATTTGTTAGAAATAGAATTGTTAAACTTTAAAATTTTTATTGATAATTGTAAAATATGAAAAAATATATTCAATTGACAGCACCGTCGATATTGCAGGAATTTTTAGATACATAAGTGACATGTATATGTGAGTACTCTTTTGATAATACAGATTAGATCTCTTTGGCGGTAAATTTTAATTTCCAATTTTAAAGAAATTCTTTTCTTTTTTAAATATTATTCTTTTAAAAAGAACAATTAATATATTCTTAAGAGTAATAATATTCTAATATGAAGAAAATATATTTTTATATGAAAAAAATAAACAATTCACACTATTATTCTTACATTTTCCATAAATAATTAATAAACGATATAATAAACGGTAAATACTTTGAATAAAATTTAAAAAATTAATAAATTATTACGATCATCAATTATTTTTATTTATTTTAACGATAACTTTAACATAATAGCAGAAACTAATATTTTAAATGTATAAATGTAGCTTCAGTTTGCAGACTATATATAGAATGTATATTACCATAAAAAAATTGTTAAATGCTTAAATATACAGCAAAAATGTGAAAATTAAACAAATTACAACTTATTATAAAAGAAAAAAGACTTTATAGAAGATCGGAAACGATCGTGTATCATCGTATGACCTCCCGAACACAACGGTTTCTGTTTATATAAGAAGTACGAAATCGCTGTCGGAGATGATTTAATATTCTGATTCCGTATCGAACGTATCACATAATTAATTATAGGATAATTCTGAGATAGGATAGACAAAATTAATAGTCAGTTAACATCCTCTGTTAATTAATTCTATCTCCTCTATTCCATTAATTTCAATTAAAAATTTAATAAGAAAAATAAAATGAAATTTCTATTTATCAATTTTTATGATATTTAATTTATAGTACTCGTATATTATTTCAGAATAAGTGAGAATTTTTGATCTTGAAAACTAGAATAAATTATCAATACTAATATATCGAGACTTTAGAGTAGGCTAAAGTAGATTATTAATATAAATATGTATTAAGTCTTCTCATCATTGAATGTCGTCGTATTCGTCGCCAGCGTATTCTTATCTTTAAAAAAAAACATGGAAAATATATTACGTATTTTTAATAATAAATGAGTAAACTGCAAAATTTAATTACAAATATGCTAATTTTTTTTTAAAATATTGTTTGAAAAAGATACAAATTAAATAAAATTATAATTCTGAAATATATTGATTTAATTTTATGGATTTTTTTCTTAATAATCATAAATTTCCATTTATAATACTAAATTATAAAATGGAATAAATTAACAGAATAAAAGTTTGATTGGGAGGGGGGGGGGGAAGAATTAATTTACAAAGTTTTAGGACATGCAAATTCAGGATGAAATAATCTCAACAGCATTTGATCTTTTCATTTTATTGTACCAAAAAATTTCATCTCCGTTCAATCATTATTAATTCAATATAATATATTTATCCTTTATATTTGTTATATCTTATTTATAATAAATATTTGTAATAGTATAGTGTTCATTGTTATTCTTTATTGTGTCGCCATGAGCCATGAAAACGTGGAATCAGCAAGTTCTTAATTACCGTTACTATACTACCTAGAAAGACGTTTTGTGATTCTTTTTTTTTTTTTTTCTTTTAATAAATCCACGAAACACAACAGAAGCACGCCACGTGGTTGCGTACTTGTCACTCTCCCTTTATGTTTCTTTTTTTCTCATCTTTTTTTGTTTCTTTTCTTTTTTTAAAAAAGAGTAAAGTGCAGAGACACTTGTATTATCTCCCAGAAAACATTTTGTTCTTTCTTTTCCGTATATACCCCCTCCCCCTGCCCCCCTTCCCCCTTTTTCCTTTCTCAATCAACCGTGTATTATTTAATTGATACAGAGCATTCAGACATAGACAATCCATACATTAAAACAATAGATACCTAAGGAAATTTTACAACTAGCTTAAGGCTCTAGTTCCCTTAAATCAGTTCGAATTAGAATTCAAACGAGGAACAGTGTTAATTAATCTCCGATATTTAATATTTTCAGTTCGTTCATCGACAAAACATCACATCGAACAATTCGCAAGAAATCTTGGATCTTCATTTTCTACTTTGATCGTGACCGTTGATAAATTGATCGAGCAACGAATCTCGAACGATTTATCCTCGTTTCTCCATATATTTTCACGATGCGAAATGTAACTGATTTTAACGTACTAAGGCCTTAATGTGTCAAAGCAGCGGAGCTAATTATCGTTACAATAAGAAAATATATATACCTCTACGGACACCAATAATTCGATCTCACGATTGTACGTGGAACGTAGACATAGTTTTCTAAAAAACTTTACATCTTTTTCCATTTTGTTTTTTCGTTTTTCTCCATTCAATTAATATTCAAACGCTTTTCAAACTTATGGGAACAAGCGTTCCAAAAAATGCCACCTTTCTACGTTCCTCCTCTATTCCTCCTCCTATTCTCTTTTTTTTTTTCTTTTCTTCTTTTTAATCCTTATAAAGCTTAACTTTGACTTTTTGTTCCTTTAACGAATGTTTCTTTAACCTCGATTCCCCGTAAACCCTGCAGTATATTCGTGCAATCGTTGACACGTTTCACGTGATTGATATTTCGACAGGTTTACGTAGTTTGTTCTCTCTCTTTTTTTTCTTTTTTTTTTGCAAAAACTAAACTGAACACATTAACGAGAACGGTTTTTTAATTTTTTTTTTTTTGTTACTTATTAGTAACGAGAATAGTTTTAATACTTTGCTTCTTAATTTTTTTTTTTCTTTTTTCTTTTTGTGATGCATAATATAACTCTTTGTGAATCTTTGTCGCGAACTGTTACGAGATCACTGACTGTCTTACTGCAGAGTTAGTGACAATCGTGTTTTTTATGTTTCAGCATCTTAAATGTTAGTCTAAAGTTACACGCTATGTATCGAGAATACTTCTACCGACGCAGTACCTAAGTTTTAAAGCCCTGCATACTCGAACTTGTTTCTTTACTTACTTTTTTTTTTTTTTCCATTCCTTTAACCCAAATTTTCTTCTTGTTTTTTTTCTTTTTTTTTTTTTTGGACGACAGTGAAAAGTCAATAATAAAAACGTCTTTATTTCCATCGTGAACGAAATTTCCATCGATTAAAAATCGTTTAAAATGATGAATATGTATGTTTCTTCTTCTCTTCCTTTCTTCTTTTCTCTCCATCTTCTTTCCTCCTGTTATTGTGCATCACTTTCTCAAAAATTATTAATCACATATATAATATATATATATATATAATTGCATTTATATATCAACAATTTTTTTTTTTTTCGATCGGCTCACAGACAATCGAATAGGATGATGTTGTCAACTTCCGTTCATCTCATCCACCTCGTGTAATGTAAATCTACTACGCTTACAAATTTCAAAATATTACAACGTACTTCAATGTATCAGGCGCACACACTGGAGAATATATTTCGTTTTATTTTAATATCGAAACTTAATATTAAACGTTCCCGAGAAAACAGGATTCTATATATATATATATATATTTTTTTTCTTTTTACTTTTTTACAACAATCGGTACACATCGGCCCCCCCTCCCCGCATAGCTGGATCGTTCGTGTTTCGACAATAAGTGATGACAATTATCAACGATCCACGGGGAGAGGAAATTATTATTAAGAACGATTTTCGTTCGTTTATGCTGAAACATTTAAACACAGAGCTTTGCGTTGAACGAGTACGTACGAATTGATGATTTAACCATAATGGATATCGATTCTGCTTATAACATATTTTGATGAAATTTTATTGGCAAAGATATTGCATTTAATAATTCATTCGATTTTCCGCCATATGTAAATATTTATATATATATATATATATATATCGTTAATTAATATGTTTCGCAGTTTTTTTCGTTTTGTTTACAAACCTGAGCGATATAAAGCAATTTCGATATCCATTAAAAATTCGTACATGTTATTACCCTTATTCCCTAAAATTAAAAACGTAAGAGAGATGTTTCGTATATCGTATATAGACTAGATTACAATGGAAAAAAAAAAAGAAGAAGAAGAAGAAGAAGAAAAAGAAGAAGAATGAAAGAAGAAAAAAAAAGAAATGACTTGTTGTTGTAAGTTGCGAATCGATGCAGATGGAATAATCTCCGCCGAATATATTCTCCGTTAACGTAATAACATCGTTGTTGGGTATTCTTGTGTAAAACTAACTTCGATCGTTTTCTGATCGCATACGATAACGATAAGTTTTTTTTTCTTTTTTTTTCTGTATTAGCTTTGATCAACCATTATTGCGAATGAGTACGTTGGCATCGTCATTTAACACATTAGATAACATCGACGATATAGTTATTATGAACGAGTAGCAAAAATATTGCTATTTCCTTGTCTCGATGAAAGTGAAGAAGGTGTAATCGCTCGAAAATTATTCTTAATACTCGAAAGATTAAATTTCCCAACGGGTTACGAAAGAGAGAGAGAAAGAGAGAGAGAGAGAGAGAGAGAGCGAAGGTGTTTTAAAAACAATAACTGCGAATCTTGATGACGGAACGAGAATAGCCGTGACAACGATGAATATTTCATTTTCTTTGATTAAAAAACGGAAAATATTTATCTTTGTTGATTTCCTGGTTTTAATTCTATTCGATGGACAAGCTATTTCAACTAGTTTTAATATTCTTTTAA